AAGGGACAGATCAACCAGACAGAAAATGAGCAAAGAAATAACAGAACTGAATCACACCTGTGAACAAATGGGTTTGACAGACATATACAGAATGTTCCACCCAACAACATCAGAATACACATTCTTCTCAGCAGTACATGGATCATTTTCTAAAATAGACCATATATTAGCTCACAGAACATATTTAAGCAAATGCAAAAAAGTTGAAATCATCCCTTGCATATTATCGGATCATAGCGCTCTGAAATTAGAAATTAATGACAAAAGATACTGCAAAAATTCCACAAACACATGGAAACTAACACACTCTTGAGTAATCAGTGGGTCACAGAAGAAATTAAAGAAGAAATTAAACAATACCTAAAAGAAAATGAAAATGCAGATACAACTTACCGGAATCTGTGGGATGCAATGAAAGCCGTTCTGAGAGGAAAATTTATTGCACTGAGTTCCCACATCAGGAAAACAGAACGAATACAAATAAATAACTTGATGCTACACCTCAAACAGCTAGAAAAAGAAGAGCAAGTCAAGCCCAAAGCCAAAAGAAGAGAGGAAATTATAAAAATCAGAGCAGAAATCAATGCAATAGAGACTAAGAAAACAATCCAAAGAATCAACGAATCAAAGAGTTGGTTTTTTGAAAGAATAAATAAAATCGATATGCCCCTAGCCAACCTTATTAAAAAAAGGGAAGAAAAAGCTCAAATTCATGCAATAAGAAATGAAAAAGGAGAAAACACTACAGACCCAATAGAAATACAGAGGATCATCAACACCTATTTCGAAAACCTCTACTCTCAAAAGTTTGATAACACAGAAGAAATAGACAGATTCTTAGAAGCATATGAAGTACCAAAGCTAGATCAAGAGGATATAAAACTGTTGAATAACCCAATCTCTGCTAATGAACTTGAAAATGTAATTAAGGCCTTACCCACCAAGAAGAGCCCAGGCCCAGATGGATTCACTGCAGAATTCTACAAGAAATATAAAGAAGACCTAATGCCGACACTCCTCAAACTATTCAATGAAATTGAAAGGGAAGCAATCCTTCCTAAGTCATTCCTGGAAGCAAATATTACTCTAGTACCAAAACCTGAGAAAGACCCAACTATAAAAGAGAACTATAGACCGATCTCCCTAATGAACACATATGCAAAAATCCTCAATAAAATTTTGGTAAATAGGATCCAGCAAATCATCAAGAAGATTATACACCATGACCAAGTGGGATTCATCCCAGGAATGCAAGGATGGTTCAACATACGCAAATCAATAAATGTAATCCACCATATCATTAAAGCCAAAAATAAGAATCACATGATCATTTCTATAGATGCAGAAAAAGCCTTCGATAAGGTCCAACACTTATTCATGATAAGAACTTTACAGAAAATTGGAATAAATGGTCTTTACCTCAATATAATAAAGGCCATTTATGACAAACCAACAGCCAGCATCATACTAAATGGCCAAAAGTTGAAAGCCTTTACTTTAAAATCAGGCACAAGACAAGGATGTCCTTTATCACCACTCCTATTTAATATAGTACTGGAAGTACTAGCCAGAGCAATTAGGCAAGAAAGAGAAATAAAAGGGGTAAAGATAGGAAAAGAAGAAGTTAAATTATCATTGTTTGCAGATGACATGATACTCTACATAGAAGACCCCCTAAACTCCATTGAAATACTCTTAGATACAATAAATAAATTCAGTAATGTGGCTGGATACAAAATCAATACTCAGAAATCAATAGCATTCCTATACACGAACAACAAAATTACAGAGAGGGAAGTAAGAGAAACTGGACTATTCACATTAGCAAGCAAAAAAATGAAATATTTAGGAATTACTCTTACAAAAGAAGTGAAAGACTTATACAGTGAAAATTATAATACACTGAAAAAGGAAATTGAAGATGATCTCAGAAAATGGAAAGACATCCCTTGCTCATGGATAGGAAGAACAAACATTGTGAAAATGGCCATTCTCCCAAAACTGTTATACAGATTCAATGCAATCCCAATAGAAATTCCATCAACATACCTTATAGATCTAGAGAAATCACTCCTAAATTTCATCTGGAACCAGAAGAGACCTAGAATCGCAAAGGCAATTCTAAGCAGCAAAGACAAAGCAGGAGGCATCACAATCCCTGACTTGAAGTTATACTACAAAGCAACAGTAGTAAAATCAACATGGTATTGGAATCAAAACAGAGCCGAAGATCAGTGGAATAGATTAGAAGATACAACCACAACTACGAACACACTCAACCACCTTATCTTTGATAAAGGAGCCAAGCAGGTTCACTGGAAGAACGACAGTCTCTTTAATAAATGGTGCTGGAAAAACTGGCTCTCCATTTGTCGAAAACTAAAGCTAGACCCATGTCTATCACCATGTACTAAATTAAAATCTAAATGGGTCAAAGATCTGAATATTAAAACAGAAACACTAAATCTATTGGAAGACAAATTAGGTAGAAACCTTGGAGACATAGGAGTAGGTAAAGAATTCATGAACAGGACTCAAACCGCACGGGAAATACTTCCCAGAATCAATAACTGGGACCACTTCTTATTAAAAAGTTTCTGCATGTCAAAAGAAATCTCTAGCATAGTGAAAAGAAAACCCACAAACTGGGAAAAGATTTTAGTGAACTCTCTCTCAGACAAGGGCCTCTTGTCTAAAACATATAAAGAATTAAAGAAACTCAGACCTCCAAAATGCAAAGATCCAATCCAAAAATGGGCATCTGAGATGAATACGCAATTCTCAGATGAAGAAATGCAAACGGCAAATAAATACATGAAAAAATGCTCATCATCATTGGTCATTAGAGAAATGCAAATGAAAACCACACTGAGATACCATCTCACTCCTGAAAGAATGGCCAGGATCAAGAAAACCGACAACAAATGCTGGAGAGGTTGTGGGGAAAAAGGAACTCTCCTGCACTGCTGGTGGGAGTGTAGACTGGTACAGCCTTTGTGGAGATCTGTCTGGAGATTTCTCAAAAAGTTGGGACTGGAAATCCCATTTATTCCAGCTATTCCACTTCTAGGCATATTCCCAGAAGAAATGAAAGCATCATACCACAGTGATATATGTGCACCTATGTTTATAGCAGCACAATTTGTAATCGCCAGATCTTGGAAACAACCCAAGTGTCCATCAACTGAGGAATGGATAAAAAAGTTGTGGTATTTCTATACAATGGAGTATTATTCAGCTATAAAGAAGGATCACATTGAGATATTTATCAATAAATGGGCGCAGCTTGAGACCATACTCATAAGTGAAATAAATCAATCTCGCATGTGTGAATACCGAATAGTTTCCCTAATGTAAGTAATGAATCAAATATATAAAAATATGTGGTAATCATGATTCCCCATTAGGTGGCCTTGGAGCCTTATAAAGTTTTCACTCATTAATTAGAAAGGCTTTATTCTGGGCTTCTTGATTTGAAAATATTTGAAGCTAGACTATATGAAGTTTTATCCAAATATTTCAAGGAAAAAGACACTATGGTAACTACTATTAAGTCAGGTTATATGGTGGTGAAGTACTAGGTTGTTAAAACAGTCATGCTGGGACCTCTATTGTTATATTGTTATGTCCTGTTTTATCTCAATCTCCCCCTTATTGTTTTTAAAAAAATTATTTAGTCATTTCTTATGTTTGTCTTAAAGAAAAAATTCAAAAAATTAGGATATATAAATAGTAACTCTTTTTGATTTCCTATTAACTTGTTTTGAAGTCCTGTAGTACTCCCACAATCTTGTTTTGACTGATTAGACTCTGTTCCATTCTATATGGTAGTATCAAGTTTGAAGACATAGGCAACTACTTTGAAGACAATAAGATTCACTAAGATACCCATTCTGGTTTGACTATTGTCTTCTTTGGAAGTCCTGTAATGTTTACAATGCCTAAGTTTTATTGGTCTTGTTCTCTACTGTTTTGTCCAACTTTATAATATCTAATGAGATAGACAATTCTTTTTAAGGAAACAAGGGACAACGTTGATAACCATTGTTGATAAACTTGTACTCTGTTCTACACCATGTGCTATGTCTATCCTTGGTATTGACTGACAGCTTTGTTTTGCCATATTTGACTGTATTCTTCCCCCCCCCCCAAAAAAAGTAATAAGCACTAAGGAGTAATGAAATTTAAAGTGTGTGAATTTTGTTGTAAAAAAGAGAGGGAAAAAAAAAAAAGAAAAAGAGCTCTAACGGATATAACAGCAAGTGTGTTTAAGGGTGTTAAATAGCTGACTGTATCAATGTTTTTGGATCATTGAACACAGCTGTTTGCAGTCTACCTGTTTGAATGTCCACCTTGTATTCTTTGATACTGTGATTTGAGGAACTATTTTCAAGATGATAATATGTAATATACTAACAGGTGATTTCTTACTGTTATGTTTTGTTTTGTTTTGTTTTGTTTTGTAGTTCTGTATTACGTGTACCCTTACACCGCTTTGGTTTGTTTTGTGTTTTTCTCTTTTTCCTCTTAAATTAAAAAAAAAAAAAAAGATCAAAGACCACTGCCTCATTCTAGATTAGAATGGGCACTGTTGATTGGTGTCCAAAACTGGTCAATGTGGCTGAAATTGTCACAGGTCATGCTTCCATCACAGTAAATGTTTACAGTAGTGACAAAGAGACCTGTAACATCTTTCCTACTACTGAAAAATACTTTCAATATTATAAATGAATGGTTATAGCATCTAGATCCTGTGACAAAATACCAATACTATGTATACTTCAAATTTTAGACTCCTAAAATACAGATTGTCAGCAGACATTGGATGATAAGATCCCAGGAGTTCTGATGTTGTCACTGTCCATAATTCAACTGGAGATAAAAGAATTGTGGACAGATGGAATGAGTGGATTAAGCAGTAAATGCCTTTAAAAAGGGTTATCTTAAAGATGACAATTTCATTGAGTGATCTTAAGGAATATTACAGAAATCACCTGAAATTTCCTAAATAAAAATTTATTTAATGTCCAAAAAAAAAAAAATCAAAGACCATCCTAAGAAGATACTGTCCTTGGATAGTGCTGTGTTAACTCATGAGCATATGTGTTCCAAATACAACACAAGGTCCTGGTCTCAAATGGATCCCATCCAACCATGTGTCCAAATGCCCAACATTTCCCTTATTTTCCACTTACAGAGAACTTTATTTTCAAATTCTCTTTAGCCTCATCTCTCAAAAGTAGAACTCTATGACACCAAACAATTTTCTTTGAAAGTAGGAAAGAGAAACCAAGCATTCTTGTTGAGCATTTTAAAATATCTGAATTGTTTTATCAACACTAAATATGCTTGAAAACTCACAGTCCCATTCTCTACCAGTTTGATTTATCTATACTTTCTAGTTATTCTTCAATTCTTGCCCACATGCAAATATACTTTAAAAATGAGTATTACTAGTAGTTTAGATGTGTGAAGGGTTTTACATTATTAAGATTATCCTTGTAGCTGACCAAAATGTGGTTTATATAAGAAACAAAGAACACACTAAACTCCATAAAGTGTCTAGAAGACAAGTACAATCAACTAGACAATGACATATTAACTCACTGGAATATTATTATCTCTTGTTGCTGTTTTATTCTCAGCAACAAATTTGATTTCAGTGTCATATTCATTTAACTCTATAATAAAGCTGCATTATTTCTCAACAACTCACCTACTTAACAATTCCTTCTCAGAATCTAGCATTTAAGGCTTAGTCAAGAATGCATTCAGGCCAATTACTTTTGTAAGTATTTGTGGAAAGACAATCTTATATTTCTGTACAGGAATGAAATGTGTGTGCCCACCCCCAGCTAATTCAATAGCGTACAATAGAGTAGCAAGACTGAAAGCATTTCCACACTGATTCCATTTGCACAGCTTCTCTCCATGAGTTCTCCAATGTAAAATTATTATTCTTAGTGAAGCATTCTTACATTACATTAGTATTCCTTACATTAATAAGTGGCCTCTCTCATGTGATTTGCCTGGTATCTAATAAGGGAGGGACTACTAACCAATTCTGTCCCACACTGATTACACATGAGAAATTGCTCCCCAGTATGTGCAACCTGATGGACAATAAATGGAGATTGCTCGCTAAAGGTAATATCACACTGATTACACTTATAGATTTCCTCTCCAATATGAATTCTCTGGTGCTTAATGAGGTCATTCTTCCGAATGAAGGCTTTCGCACACTGACAACACCCATAGGGCTTCTCTCCAGTATGAATTCTCTGATGCACAATGAGGGCAGAGCTCTGGCTGAAGGATTTCCCACAATCATGACATTCATATGGTTTTTCTCCAGTGTGGATTCTCTGATGTGAGAAAAGATGAGAGCTTCGACTAAAACATTTTCCACAATCTTTACACTCAAAAGGCTTCAGTCCAGTGTGAATTCTGTGGTGCACAACAAGGTGAGACCTCTGGCTATAAGACTTCCCACACTGATTACATTCATATGGCCTCACCCTGACATGTGTTCTCTGATGCAGAATGAGATGTGTGCTCTGTCGGAAAGACTTCCCACACTCAGGACACTCATAGGGTTTCTCTCCAGTGTGAGTCCTCTGATGTCGTATAAGTCGAGAGCTATGAACAAAGGCTTTCCCACACTGATTGCATGTGTACAGTTTGTCTCCTGTGTGAGTTCTCTGATGGGTAACAAGATGGGAGAACCAGCTGAAGGACTTCCCACAGTCTTTGCATTCATATGGCTCCTCACCAGTGTGAGTCTTTTGATGTCCAATGAGGTGGGAACTCCGGCTGAAAGATTTTCCACATTCCTTACATTCATAGGGCTTTTCTCCGGTGTGAATAAGTTGATGCCTGGTAAGATTAGAGCGCCAACTAAAGAATTTTCCACATTCCTTACATTCATAGGGTTTCTCTCTGTGTATACCCTTTGATGCATCAAGGGATGCACCAGGAAGAAGAGAAATGTCATTATCAGGGCACTTGTAGGATTTATCTCCAATGTGAGTTTGTGCAAATTGAATAAGATGAATATTTTGACAGAAAGTTTGGCCACATTCATTACTGCTACCTGTACCACTTTCCTGGTGCCCCGTGAACAATAAATCATGCTTTAAACTTTTAGAATGTGAGCTTCGCCTATGGAAATACTCTCTCAGTACTAGCTGAGCAGGGAGAAAACAGCTTTCCTCATATTTAGCACTTTCACAAGCCTTCTCTTGAATAAGCACTTTCTTCTGGGTGAAAGTCACTTGCCTCATACGTCTTTCTTGGCTGTCATGATATTTGCCCAACTGGTTGTCGCATTTCCAGATGTCTTCCAGTGACAAATACCAAAGATCATTCCTCGACATTCCTTCTATTTTAATGCCAAAGGATTGTCTGTCTTTAGAAATGCTTTTTCTGGAAACTGATGATTTAATTTCAGCTGCAGTCTCTAAATCTAAAAGAAAGGAAAAAGCTTTGTATAACTAAACAAACAATTAAGGTAAGCATGACAAAATGTATGTGTCTAAAGTCTAAAAGTCTAAAAAACCCATGCAGGGTTGCTTTCAAATACGTTTGATAATCTCAGTAGGTAAGGATAAAGGAAAAGATGAAAGAGTAAAAGTAAGTGCATAAAGCTATGTACACAGAAGGAACAAAAATAGTAAACAGAGGACACAGTGCTGAGCATGACCAAAGAGATCAAAAGAACCAATGAAGGGTAACAATAAGGGATATCTCACAGAAAGGCTGCACTCTCATTTCCAAATCCCAAACAGGAACGATGTGAGATGCTAACTTGTATATTTGTTGCCAGGCCTTCCCTCACATATATTCTTCAGACTATTGCCAATTTAAAATTCTTAATCATGACTGGCCACATGCGAGGCAATGTCTTCTGTCCGTACCACCAAAGCATTACAAATGAAGCTCAGCCAGATGGCTGATACAAAGCCCTCTAAGGAAGCTGCATAAGATGGAAGAACAACATGAAACTGAGCTGTTACAGGTTCTCACCTAAACTCTGTTACTACTAGTCATAAATTTAAACAAGTTCCCTAAAATTCATTTTGCTATCCAGAGTCCAAGATCCTAGTTACTACTGTGTAACATTATTATAATCATTATATAAAGTATGAAGCTATTATACTCTGTCACATATATAGCACAAGCTATTATAGTCTGTCACTTCACAGACTCTTATGATATGGCCTTTGGAAGTAAAGTTACTGTAGATGCTGTAGGTAGCCCTAAAGTCCAACAGGATTGGTGTCCTTATAATAAAAGAAAAGATACGGAAACAGACATACGTGGTGCCACCTGAAGATGGGGGCTGAGACATGTGATACATCAACAAGCCAAGAGTGTGGGTCACCAGACACTCTCCTAGAGACTTAGCATGGCCTTAGTTTTGAACTTTTAGCCTCCAGAAATATGAGACAATGAATTTCTATTATTTTAAACTATCTGTTTTCTGTCCTGGTTGAATATGCCTTACCCAAAATCATTGAGGCTGGAAATTTCTGATAAATTTTTTATGTTTTGAAATATGTGCATATAATAATAAGATTATCTTGGAAATGGGAACAAAAATCTAAACACAAAACTCACTGATGTCTCATTTATATGTTTTATATATATATATATATATATATATAGCCTTAATAAAACTTTACAGTGCATTTTTACTAATTCTATACTTGACAAAGATTGCATCTACTAAACCATGAGAAAGCAAAGTGTGACACTCAGCCATTTATGCAGGCTATTGATCCATGTTGCCCTGTATTCTTGATTGTGAATTTATAAGCTTCTGAAAAGCAATCATTTTCTTGCACGTAAGCACTTAGCAGTATACATTACTACGTTGAAAAACAGCACAAAAAGTTGGGATTTAGCTCAGTGGCATAAGCACCTGGCAAGCAGGAGGTTATTAGTTTGATCCCCAGTAACAACAACAACAAAAAACAGCATATAAAAAAACCCAGCATATATCATTTTGTCCAAATCCTCTGAAAACATTCTACACCCATATGTCTAATCATTATTGATGGTCTGCTGCTTGAGAGTCGTTTTATAAATACTCTTCAGTAATGGTAGATTACCCTGCTCACATAACTGAGTTAATGAACTGGACATGAGGAAAGTACATGGCATAAACACTATTGCTGATGAGTTTCAGCTGGAGGGTGAACTGATCACCTTCCGCCAACGTCTGGTCCAGCTTTCCTGTAGTGACTCAAGCCACTGGTACAAAATGTGGGTGAAGCCAATTAGCAAAGATGTTCCTGGCAATCTATGTTCTTTAACATAGCAATAATCTGGCAAGAAATATACTCCTTTAAAATAGGGAAGGCTGGGGCTGGGGATTTAGCTCAGCAGCATAAGCACCTGCCTTGCAAGCAGGCAGTCATGAGTTCGATCCCCCGTACCGATAAAAATGAAAAAGACAAAAAAAAAATGACTAAAATAGGGAAGGCTCAAACTCTTGCCTGTCAGAGCAAGTTTACACTTTCACAAGCCTATCCCAGCAATTGTTGTCTTTAGAACCTTAATTCCTGCACAGGCCTCTCATCAGCTCTAGTTAGTGTCTTTCTGGGGCAAAGATGCCAAAATAGTGATGTTCCTTTAACCAGTAACACAGACATACTCTGCCATCAGATTTTCATCTTCTTCAATTGACAAGATCTTCAGTGTATTTCTTCACAATCAGTTTTCCATGATCAGCAAACCATTTAGTGGCACATGTTCAGTGAGGGTGATTCATCCTTTTGATATGCCATGGTACTCTTCATTTTTAGCTTTTCTACTTTTCATTAACTTTTGTCCACTACTTCAACAGTTAAACCTTGTGTTTCTACAGGTCATTTCAACTCCAGACTTTTGTGTAAGATGTTTCATACTTACATTTTCATTCGGTTTCTTATTCAGCTTGACTTTATGTGTTGTAGGTACATGTGCTTCCTCTTTTCTTCCTCTTTCTCACCATCATCCACAGGGGTATCTGCAGGCTTTTTTTTTTTTGTATATATTTTCAGTATCGTGTACCACAGAACAAAAAATAAGCAAAAACACAGGAACTTACATAGGTCTTGGTGGCCCCATGTGGAGAAGAATTCTCTTCTACACCCTAACCAAAGTAACTTCAACTTGTGATACATATCTAGCTATTTAGGGGACCGCTGGGCCTCTATCAGGTGCTGAAACAGTTTGCCAGACTGCAGCACAAGGTTATTCACCAGTGCCTCTTGACACAACTTACTAAGACTAAGAGGGTTCCTACTAGGCCAGGACAGGAGCACAGAACAAACAACTTTCCCCAAGGACCCCTCTTGCTTTTGCTTCCAGTTTTGCTGTTTTAATAAGGGGTCTATAAGGGTACACATCTATCACAGGGGAGTTGGCGGCCTCAGCAGTGCTTCAACCTAAAAGTGCACCACTGCACTCTGTATGTCACACCTGATGAACCAAATCATTTGCCAAGTCAAACCTTGTCTGAGTCATTTTGTACTGTCAGCACCTTCTCGGATTGGAGAAAAATATTTACTTTAAGTCTCTCCAGGAAAATATATGCCACACTGCTATCAGTGTACACAGAGTGGATTATCATTATGAGTGTATCGGTGAAGGGCAATATGGGCATGTGTAGAAAAGACATTATCACAGCTGAAGGGGCCTGGGTCTTCTTTTTCCATTGGAGATGGAAAAAATGTGTGTTGTGCACCTTCATTTAGACTTCAACCTGTCACATGAAGTCAGGTGTGAACTTCTCCACTTGCGGCATAACAGTGCTCAGTTTCAGATTTTGTAGCATTCTGGATTTCAGATTTTCCATAGAGATGCTCAATACTTTTTTCTTTTTTTGGTACCAGGAATCAAACTCAGGATCTTGTACTAGCCAGGCAGGTGCTGTGCCCAGTACTTATGGCAGCTCCAGGAAATCAATACATCTGATGACTAAGCTCTTTGCCAGGCCAGGTTCCTGACTTCGTGGTACAATTGGACCCCAGGAGCCCTAATTTTTATTCCTAAATTTGTTAGTTCCTTTTTTCTACAATATTCTAATGATTTTCCCCCTTTTCTCTTCTGTCCTAAGGAACAGAGAATTCCATAAAGAAGTTTTTGAGCTACAAATCCAATGTAGAAAATTTAAAATAACTATGATAAGGAGAGGTTGTGCAAGTTCTAGAGGCATGAGTGGGTGCTTTCCTTCAATAGAATCCAAAAATCTCCATTTGCCATAAAACACAAACAGAAAAATATGCTGTTGTTAAACTACAGCACCCATCAATCAACTCATTGCCTTTCTCCTGTTCATTCAGAAGTTCACAGGGACTTGTGAATTTCTTTAAACTCCATAGATTTAAACACTTGGGGTTTCATTATGTTTTTTGACCACAAAGCTTCAGTAAAAATATAAACTGCTAGATCTAGTTAATGATTGTTACTTTTAAAGACTAGTCATCTGACATCCAGGAAAGTCTGCTGAATGAATAAAACACAAAATAGAAAAAAGGAAGGAAAGGAGGGAGGAACAAAGGGAGAGAGAGAGGGAGGAAGGGAAGGAGGGAGGGAGGGAAAGAGGGAGGGAGGAAGGAAGGAAGGAAAAATAAAACAATCTTTTCTCAGGATTTAAAGCAGTCGACAGACCATGTTCTCATTAGTATACTGAAAGACCTGTTCTTGAGACAAAATTTTAATACAATCTCCCATCTGCAAATCAAATGTAAAAATATCAAAAATGTTCTATGATATTTCAAAGTAGAAACACCCAAAGTAGAAGCTCTGAAAAGGAAGCTCTGAAGGCCTGCATTTGAGGTGATAAAAGGCAGCTGGCAGGGGCCTGAACTGAGTCCCAGGTCCAGACTGCACGTGCCTTGAAACCCAACACATAGGGAAGCCTTAGAACATTGTTCCCAGGCGGTTAAGACCACACCCTGAGTCTGAAATCACAGGAGATGCCACAGGAGTCCCAGGAAGCCTAACTGGCCCACGCCCAGAGAACTCCAAGCAGCAAGCTGTGCCTGCTATCTGCTCTGGGAGACAAACATGGGCCAGGTGATTCTTAGGACATGGCGGAAGCCTTGAAACATTGCAAAAAAACCCAGAAATATAGGAAAGTGACAAAACAAAAGAGCAAATGTAATCTCAACCTTCCAGCCCAGACACAGAAAAAAATATAAGTCATACACCTGAAATGCCTGAAATGATATCAACTGAAGTAAAGAAACAACTCCAGGAAGCTATAAAAGAACTCAAATCAGGAAGAATCTCCCAGGTAAAAGAAGAAATGATAAATGTAATGAAAGAAATGTGAATACATCTAAAGAAGACACAGTTAAAAAATTAGAGGAACAATGCAAAAAGATGGAAACTCTGAATGAAAAATATAAGAAACAGAATGCATGAAACAGATTCAAAGAGATATATAGGTAATCAAAAATTCCATCGAAAGTT